ACTTAGGCATCTTAAATAAAAAAATTGAACAAAATGATTTGTTCATTCACACACGATAACTTTTCCTTTTTTAAGTTAATCAAGCACACTCCACTCCACCTACTTCTGTAATTTCATTCATGGCGATATGTACTAAAAACTATGGGAACCGGTAACGACTAATGAGTTCTGTGGACTAATAAATATGACGATCTGAATCAGAACCGTTGGGGAACAGGGATACGCCGACCGCCAAGGGCACGTGGGTTTGGGATAAGGACCTACTCTTTAGACAAGAACTGATAATTTGGAAATCTAATTCTCAGAACCAGAACTTAATCCATCAAGATAATTGGGAAATGTTGCGAAGAACATGAAATCTTTTTTGGCAAGAATAGATGACTTTCATCCAAATATGTCCTCAATTGAAGATAATCAACATCCAAGATATTCTCTTGTAATAATAAGTAATTTTTATCTGTGAATGAATAATTTTGGTCTGACAGATAGTTTTGAATAACCTTACATGTCTTCTCTTGCACTACTCTATCAAAGACTTGTTCTAAATCAAGGAGAACGGCGTCTGTGGCTGTGGATCAATCCACGCTTATGACGTGCTCTACTATTTTGAGTGCTTGTAATCCATTAGAGTGACCATTTCTGGGTGCTGAATTGTTCATCCGGAATCGACACAAGTAGGTACCGCACTTTTTTGTTTTCAGTTTGAATTTGATAGTTGTCTCTGGCACTTTGAGCAGAAGAGGCAAGAGACTGATAGGAGGGTAGCTCTGAGGCATCTTTCTGGCTGCTTTCAGCATAATGAGAGGTGATCCAGTTTCAAAATGGAGTTGATAATGTTGGGGGATCGTATGCTGGACTAAAACCTTCATGTATTCTTCCAGAAGAGTATCCCGTGATTCCATCTATCTGGCGAAGATGTCAGGTTGATGATCCTCTCTGGTTGTTTTTCGTCTGTAACAATCCGATGGAAGTTTGATAAACTGAAGATTTGAATTTAACTTTACTGATGCAATTTTGTGTTGCAGATTCAACACATAGGAAAATAAAAAACCTGGTAACCCTCTGCAAAACTATTTTAGAAAAAGAGATAAATATTTATATAGGAATGAACTTTAACTTGTACAATTATTGTATATGAAGACACTACGAATAAAATAAAATACTGTGGCTTTAAAATAATAGGCTGCAGACTGTTGCAAAATTGGAACATTTAATTTATCACAGAACCAACCTGCACTGGAACCACAAACGATCGCTATCGATAAGTTCTCGACAATTTTCCCTCATTTCTCACCTCGTCCACCCATCGCTCAACGTTAGTGTCCAAAATTGCCACCACAAACGAACATTTGCGGTGCAAACGAACGTTTGTGGTGGCAATTTTGGCGACTAACGTTGAGCGATGGGTGGACGAGGTGAGAACTTGTCGAGAACTTATCGATAGCTATTGTTCGTGGTTCCGCCTCAGATCACTTAACCTAAATGTTTGGTCAAACGTACAAAAATTAGAAATATTCTTAAAGCTATATTTAAAGTAAACTTTTGACTAGGATATAGAGCGTGTTTTCAACTTTCAAGTTTCGCCATTGGTTTAAAAATTATAGAATAATTATGTTGACTTTATTTATAGATTTACTCGGTAGAGAACCTTTGTAAGAAATAGTTTACTGTAGGTACTTAGCTGTGAGCCAATTTCGATCAGAGTCCCTGAGCATGTGGTAGGTGCGCAGGAGGCAGAGTCACGGTAGCCTGCTCCTAGATTTTCTTCTCTCGATGGCCAACCGACTCTCGTTAGGTTTTCCTCACACTTACCAGTTGCAGGTAGTGGGCATGATTATGTCCAACCTCTAACCACAGCTCTGTTGATTCTTATCTTATTTCTTGGTGAATTGTACGTCCTCTTTATCCGGAAAAACCCCTAGGTGGTTGTTGAGTTGAAAATATTTTATCCTTTTTCTTTTACCAAATGTTCATACCGCAATCGTGGGACTCATGCATTGGATAACACCTCCGGCGGGCTTGCTTCCCAAATCAGGAAAAATCCGGCGAGCTCCCCAAAACAATAGTTGTTTGAATGTTAAATAGGATCTTTACCTTTTATTCCTGCACTTTTCTTTTGCTTTTGCTCACTAAACTTCAAGATGATTGCAGATATAACTTTCTGGTCTGTTCTGACGGAGAGTTGAAGGTAAAATGCAAATGTTGGCTCCTCTGTCACCTGACGAGGTTATTTCCTGTCACTTCGATCTGTCAGTTTCTGACTTTGGTACAGATCTCAGCCTTGGCCACTAGATACCGTACTTATGACGTTCTAAACTTTACTATTAGGTGGCCTTGTCCTATCGGTACTGGAACTCTATGAATAGAAGATTATAAGAAATAAATATCCGAAAAACTTTGTCAAAGCTGATTTTCTTTTCTTTAATGTACGGTGGCCCGTTTAAGAGGGGCCTATACCTTATCTTGAAACCTACAAGGGCTGTGAAAAAAATTTAAATACAAAAGTTGTTTCTAATAAAATTATCTACAATTTTTTTGCATTGTTTTTATTATCACTCTAATATATACAAAAGTCTATAACGAGTGTATACTGCCTGTAGTCACGTATGGTTGCGAGACCTGGGTGATAACCAGAAAAATCAAACACAAATTGGAAGTACATCAGAGAGCCATTGAAAGACGCATTTTAGGAATTTCCCTGAGAGACCGCAAAACAAATACATGGATAAGGGAAAGAACCAAAGTCTCCGACATAATAAAAAGAATTGGTTCCCTAAAATGGCAATGGGCAGGACACGTGGCCAGACATACAGAAAACTGGAGCGGATATATCACTAGATGGAGACCTTGGGAAGAGAGGAGAAGTGTTGGAAGACCCCAACAAAGATGGTACGACGAGATAAAGAAGGTTGCAGGCTTAAATTGGTACCAAGTTGCGCAAAACCGAAGACAATGGTCAAATTTGAAAGAGGCCTATATCCTAAGGATAGAAAACGGCTAAAAATGGAAAATGGAATATACAGGGTGGAAAAATGAAATTTCATTTTTTTTCAATAGACCACCCTATATTTTAATGAATTTTTCCATTGCCCTTTGAAAGACAAATCCAACAATATACTGCACAGGTGTCTGCGATATACCGTTTCGAACTTATTAGCGATTATCTTCATGATTTGGGGTAATTTTCAACAGTCATTGTTACGTTAATCATAAACTTTTAAAACTTTTTTCTCAATTTTGGTGTGAGAATGTCATTATTCTCGCACGCAAAATCTTTGGTGACATTTAGTTTTCAAAGTATATATATTGGTACCTTCAAAATTGTCAAACCTTCTAAAATGATAGAATTCACCTGTCAGTTGGTTGGTGAGTAAGTGTCACCAACGCGGTGTTGCCACGTTTCGCGAAATGTTAAGCTATTCAATTTTTTTAAATGACATCTCCTGTACATTTTCGAATTTTTGTATAGCCCTTTGAAAGAAAAATTCAACGATATACTGGAAATGATTCTGTGATGCACCGTTTCGGCCTGATTGACAATTATCTTCAGTTCTAGCACAATATTTCATCTGTTCAAGTCGCCTGCGCTGGGACTCTGTAAAGAATAGAGATATTTTCTCTATCTCTATTGACGTCTCCTCTCCGCGAGAAGAAGACAGCAAGTGCCACAACGATAGGGATAACGATCTCTATCCGTTACAGAGTCCTAGCCCTGGATCCTTATTCTTGAAACAGGGAAGCAGCGTTTTCAGAAGAATAAGTGTTCCGTTTTCCGTCTTTTTCAATGATATGCAAATGATAATATAAGTAACAACGACGGACCACTCGTTCTCCTAGGAACGCTGCTTTCCTGGTTTCAAGAATAAGGATCCTGGGCTGGGACTCTGTAACGAATAGAGATAATTTCTCTATCTCTATTGACGTCCCCTATCTATTGACTTTGAGAAGAGAGAAGAAGACAGCAAGTGTCATAGCGATAGAGATAACGATCTCTATGCGTTACAGAGTTCCAGCCTAGGCGACTTGGACAGATGAAATATTGTGCTATTTAGAAGATAATTATTGCCAATCAGGCCGAAACGGTGCATCACAGACCCATTTTCAGTATATCGTTAAATTTGTTTTTTAAAGGTCTATCCAAAAATTCGAAAATTTACAGGAGGTCCCATTTAAAAAAAAAAATTGAAAAGCGTAACATTTCGCGAACCGTGGCAACACCGTGTTTTTTAAACAAATATTCCAGATTTGAATATAGTCTAAGGAAGAGCATTATATTTTATAAAAAATATCATGCAAAAAAAAAAAATTAAAAATTTATGAGTAACGTAACAATGACTGTTGAAAATTACCCCAAATTATGAAGACAATCGCAAATAAGCTTGAAACGGTATATCGCAGACACATGTGCAGTATATCATTGGATTTGTTTTTCAAAGGGCTTGAAACATAGGATGTTCCATTTAAAAAAGTGAAATTTTATTCGTCCACCCTGTATATAGTAGTGGAGTGACAACAAAAAGAAATTTAAAAAATTGTAGATTACTTTATTAGAAACACCTTTGTATTTAACATTTTTTTCACAGCCCTTGTAGATTTCAAGATACGGTATAGGCCCCTCTTAAACGGGCCACCTTGTACTATAATATCATTGACATAAATCTGATAACCTTCGACAATATTATCTCTTAGGTTTGGTATATTTACATAAAGTATAACATGAAAAAACTAATATTTATGGATTTGAGCTAGCGACTCGTGATTTAGATTCTTTCCCAACGATTTCCTCAGTAGGAGCCTTGAAAGAGCAACTGCGTATCTCTGGAAATACAAGCCACTTTGCAAAACATTGAGAACCAATTCCAAATCACGACCCCTCATCATATATGTTAGTTTTTCAATGAAGCCATGAGGATTTAAGTTTTCTTTTTCACTCCTTGACCAAGATACTTTTTGATGTCTCGGTATAACAAAATATTTGAAAATTAATTTCTTTGTTTCAGAGTTTACAAAGCGCAGCAAGACGAGCGGGGACGAGTTGTGCGAATTGTAAAACAACCACTACGACGCTATGGCGGCGAAACCAAAACGGCGAACCAGTATGTAATGCATGCGGGTTATACTACAAATTGCACAATGTAAGTACCTTAGCATACCTTTGTGTTGTTCTCGATTTAATAAAATCACTACGAAATATTTAATGAAATGTGATAGTAGGGTACTACCAGCCATTAACATGCCTATGCAAATAAAAGACTATAAAGTTTGACCTGATAATATCCGAAAGTACTTCAACCGCCGTTATTTAAGTCAATATTAATAACTACAACAGAAAATATTTTAATAATATACAAAAAAAATGTAATAAAAAAAAAACCACATGCTTGAAAGGAGGCTTGTAAATTTTTCGCATCCTTTAAGTCTATGCAAATAAAGCTTTGTCCGTGGCTATCAGACCGCATTAAAAATCCGAATAAAGAGACAGTTGTTGGATGTTGTTCACATTAGGAGAAGAGTTTTGCGAGGTAGGTCTTGTTGGTTGATATGAGATGGTCAATGTTGGGAACCTACACTTAAAAGTTAGCCTTGGTAAAAGACAGTTTGATTTTATGCATTTCTGTCCTTTTTTAATAATGCATCAAGCAGTAGCTTGGAAATTACTCAGTACTTAGTCTATGTCCTGTTTTGTTATTTTTTTTTTTTTGAGTTAGATTTGAAAAACAACCAGGCATTATCTTCCAAGCTCAAACATACACTTATTAGTCCGGTCCTGATTTGTTTATTGGTAGATATTTATTTTCATTTCTACATGAGCATTTGAAATCGTCAGATACTGCTAACATAAATTGAAAAAACCATGCTTTTCGCAGTTTCTTGGAATAAGCTTTATTGATTTGGCGCCAAAATCTCTGTATACACATTCACTGGAAATACACCTACGTCATTGTCAGAAGTTATATTATACCAAGTAGCGTACGTGACACTGTAAAAATTGTCGGCAACATTAAAACGCATAATTTTATGAGGAATTGCATAGGTCCACTGACCGCAGTCTTTAGTGCACTTGAATGTATGATTAGTTGATGTCGCGTCATACAGGGTGTACAGAGTAAATTGAAACATGAATTAGTTTTGCTACTCCTAAAATATGGGAGCAATTCCGATCTTAAGTTTTATTTCTTGAATAATCTCATTCAGCAACAAAAAAAAAAGAAACATTTATATAATTGTATCAAAATCCCTCTCGTTATATCCGGTAACAACACCCCGGGTATCCATTGTGCTATAAGGGGGATAAAAACGTTTGTATCGGGAGTTATTCAAAGACGCATTGTCACTGGCGGGTGACTAAATTACAGAGAGAGCAAAGTATCCGCATTCTTTGCCCTGTTCTGCTCGCTTTTCTTGCAAAGATTGGCCCTATAGATTACGGACAATTACTGTATAATGTTTGTTGTATATGAGCACTTAAGGACATGGGAGGAGAACAACTGCTTTTGTTAGCTAAACTATCGTTTTACTTTATATACTTTGTTGAGTACATTATTCGGCTCATAAAATCAGGAATAAAACTATTTTGGTATGTATTGTAACAATAATTATTGACTCAAAATTACCGTAAAAAGACAATCAGTTATTATGCCTCAGCCAAAGAACCACTCCCGCATAAATCTTGAGAACCATTAAATTATACACTTGATCGTTTCGGTAGTTCTATGGTTGACAGATAGCAAGATTTCTTAAAGGTGAGCCCGGCAGGAGACCTGCTACTTCACAATATTCATATTTTTACGAGTTAAGATTTAATAGGCGAGGCTGTAACGTTAAAACATTCTTCAATAATAATAATTATTATGATCGCATTTTATGAAAAAGCTACAGATTAGGTATATATATTATCTAAAAAAAACACTTTTTTCGTCATGATCGAGGAATATTGCTTCATAGGATAAATCGATAATAAACATAAAATCAGCAAGTTTTAATTAAATCATTAAAATAGGTACTCACTATAAAGATAATTTGGGTTTTTTACCAAGCCAGGATAGAAAAATAGCTATAATTTTATGCTAACTATATGCAAAGTGTTCTAAATTTACGTATAAGAATAATTAGCGAGAGCAGTAGCAGGTTTCAAAGATATCACGTCAGTTTGGAGTAGAGTTAAACTAGCTATATCTATAAGAAAAAAAGTTTGGGTTAGTAGTCGATGGTTTGGAAAATACAACGAAAACGAGTCGATACACTAGATGGTCAAGACCATTTATGATGCGCTATCCATTCCCATTGATTACGATTCAAAAATTTTTATACGTGTCCATTTGCAGCTAAAGTATCGTGTATAACATGAGCCACCAATGGGCGCAAGAAACTGGTATTCCGAAACGCGCCCGGGTAAAAAACCGCAACATCTCGATCAGTAAATCAGTCTGAATCGCGCGAGTTTTTCCGATCACGTTTCCGACGTTCCTGGAGGGTCGAATATGGGATCCGAGGATTCCTTTGGCGAGTAGCTATGCGCCTGAATTATCTAATTATCATTTTATTGTTCTTTGTGCGCTTTAAAGAGATTTTATTAGCGGTGGAGGCCTGCGATGAAATAAATTGAGTGTCTTCTGTCGCTGTTGATGGGAAATGGGGCTCTTGGACCAATAAATCAATACAAATTTGTCGCATAGTAACTTAGGAAGGAATCATTCAACCACTAGTGGGCAGTGTGAGTTCGTCAGTCATCAACGAAATGTTTTTGAGAATATTGGTTCATCGTTTCTCTAGTTAATTAAGCGTTGACAATATCAACAAAGTTAACTAAGTACTGTATGGTATGAGGTTGGGGAAAATATTCGCCCTATCCAAAGATTTCTCTGACGTTCTTTCTTGAATACTGCTTCAACATATTATTTTCCTAGGCGTATGCCACTTGATTTTTCTACGATTCACACCGATTTGTTACCTTTGTCTTTTCGTGCCGAAAAAGTATTTAGGTCAGTGATGTCTTCATCCGTTACATTTTCGAAACCCATTACCCATTGATATCCATTTTTATTTGGATCATTCTAAATCATGGTTAATGAATGAACAACCCCTGATACAAGTGACTGATTCCAAAAGATATTTTCCAGAACCACATTTAATTTAATTTTGCGCCTCTCGCATCTCAGTCATTTTTGGAGCGCTTTAGATGGTCTTGCCATCTAATTTGATGCCGTTTATGCGTCATGGTGTCCACTCCAGAATTGATCTTGTGCACATGCCATCACTTTTCGAGCAACATGATCGGCCCAATTCCACTTTAGACCAGATATTGTCTCAACAGCACCAGTAACTCGAGTTTTGGTAATTTGTCTAAGATTTATTATCCATGGCTTTTTGGGCTAGTCTCTCTATTGACATTTTTTTTTTTCAGATTCAAGGTCGTTCAAGACAAAGACGAATGTTTTCTTTGAATATATATGTGAGATCACCAACCGCTGATGCCCGTGCTATCTATCATTGTCAAATTTACACGTTTGTTATTGTCTCTGCCTATATTCTTAGTTCATGTCCTAATCACACATAGCCGCTGAAAAGTTTGACATGATTTTGAAAAGTTTACTATCGGAACAACATTTTTGACGATCCATATCACAAATTACCCACAAAAATTAGTACAAATCTCCAATTACTCTACATAAAACGAAAAATATAACATATTATTTACAATAAAAATTTTGTATGTGAAATCGGTTGAAAGCATATTTCTATTCTTTCCACATTGGACCAAAGGAAAAAAAGTAAGATGCAAAATATCAGACATACTTAGATATCCGGATCAATAGTCAATGACATAAAAAATCAAAAGAAATATTTACCTACTTCTAATTTCTGGACCTTAACCACATACATACAATACTGACAGCTTTATATACTCTTAATATGTAACAATAATGTAGCTGTTGTAGTAACCCATTGAATGATGGTTTATTTATGGAGTACTAAAAACATGTACCTAGTACGGAATGAATAGCTATTCTTATAAGACATATTATATGCCCATGTAGTTTAGAGTTTAGAGGCAGTAAAATGTATCGAAATAAAAGTGTGTTAAGACTGAAAATATTATTAGGTGGGAATGTTTTGATATAAAAATACCATGTAAGGCAATTGACTATGCGCCTGAATTATCTTATTTCAAATTTTGACAAATACAAAATATTGTCCACAAGGGGCAACAAACTTAATTTTAATAAAATCATTATTTCTCTTCGACCCTTGTTTTACCTAATTTCATGTCAACTGTAACAATGACTTTGAATCATTCATTATTGCACCTGCTTCATTATCATCATTTCGCCAAAAAAAAAAAAAACTCAATTATTTTTAACAATGACTCCAATTTGCTCCATCCATATATGGCCGAAGCAAATTATGAATGAAGTAACTTTATGAAAGGATAACAGATTATCATCAACCCGAAAAAAAATTTGAAAGATAGTATCTCATGTAAATTTTAAAAATTTGAAACGATTCAATTTGTTAAGGCTTGTTATGTGGGGTGCTCCTGCCTGACATTTTTCTACCGGGAATAGCTTGAATTATATTATACTTGTTTAGTAAATTGGATTTTTCACTATATATACTGCTCAAGTTTATTGCCTAATAAAAACGGAGGAATCGTCTATAAACCTACGCATGCATAAAATAATTAGCAATTATATGCATTCATAATATAGATAATACGAATTTTCAAAACACTAAATTAGCCCAATCGGGTACTAAAATTTGGATTGCTACAAATTGCAAAAAAGCATAAATCACTAATAATTACCATTATTGCATAATTGACTTTTGACCGTCCGCAAGCCTTTGTCGGTCTAATTATCTCCTCTAGCCACAATTGCACTTCTGGGATTCCGCAACACCTCTGCACGAAATTCCACGACATTTTAAATTGCTATGAAATCTGAAAAAGTCTCGGACGTTCATATGGTTTAATTGAATTATTATCCAGTTGTGAATGTATACAGAGTGCCTCGTTTTCTGTATTCAAGAAGTGTTAGTTTGCCACCCCCCAAAGAAAAGTGGCCTTATCCGGAACGGCGATAAAATAAAAGCAATGGTTCGGAACTTTTCTCATCAATGTTAATATAAGTGAGCC